CTGGGCCATGCCATCCTGACGGGGAGCGCAACGCACGCCACCTCACGCCTTCCGACGACCGCCTGCGACCGTGATAGTCATGCCAGCGACCCCAGGGCCGCGGCGCAGCCGGGATTTGAACACGGAGCCCGACTTGGGAGCCGAAGGCGCTAATTGGCCGGCCGCGATGCTCCCCGGCGCATCTCGTCAGCAAGAACGGACCGCTCGCTCTCGACCACCGTCCGAGGTCCAAGTCTCAATCGACGCTTACCACTACCATTGCCCGTCATGCCGACCTGACGCGACAACTGAGCGTAGCTTTGATTCCGTCCAGATCTAAGTCAGCCCACTTGTGCGGCACGAACCAGAACGCACATTTCTTCCCCCGATACAGACAATTATTTTCTTAAGGCCGGCTACAAGCCTGGCGCCACGTAAGTTCAAGCAGGTACAGTTCACTGTTCACACCATTCAACAACACGCTCCTCGTCGGACATGAACGGCGTTGCACGGGAACTCTCAAACTAAACCGGACCAACCCGTCGAGTGGACTGACTCGGCGCCTGCTGCGCGGACACGTCCTGCGCATATCGCGCGGATGTGCCTCTGATGGTCGCGACCTACAGTTGGCCCGAGCCGTCGGCGGTCAACAAAGCCTGACCGACATTCGATCGGGAGGCCCGAAAGTCAGTCAACACCACACAGAGAACGGCAGGGGAGCGCGGCGGCCCCAGCGCCGTCGGCCGGACGTAAAGCTGCAACCGTCGGCCGGACGTGAAGGCACAACCGTCGGCCGGACGTGAAGGTACAATCGTCGGCCGGACGTGAAGGTACAACCATCGGCCGGACGTGAAGGTACAACCGTCGGCCGGGCGTGAAGGTACAACCATCGGCCGGACGTAAAGGCACAACCATCGGCCGGACGTGAAGGCACAGCCGTGGACCAGCCACGCCGCACTCCCACAGTCTGGGCCGGCCGGCCCCGAGCTGGCGCGCGGCCGCCAACGGAGAGAAGACCGGCTGGCGGCTCCGTGCCACCCCCACTTTGGCGTGCGGCGGCCGCCCCCCCCCCCCCCCTCCCCCCCCCCCCTGCTCCGTCCCATCTCTGTATAGCTGGGAGTGGCGAGTGCCCAAAGGCCAACGCTGTCCAGCAGTATCGGGACTACAGGGACGATCAAAGAAACGCCACCATCGTTGAATCAAATGCCATCGAAAAATCCCGAACCAAACACCGTGGCACCCTTGGCATCATTTTTGAAAGCCTGCGGCAGGACGGTGTATGTGGCCGTTGCATTCCAGCGACAGCAAGGACGGTTGGCGGGCGTGTGCGTGGCTTCAGGCCGTCCCCGTCGATCTTTCCAACGCGTGCACGTGGAACGTGTACCCGACACGAACCTCTCCTCTCATACGCCGCCGTTCTCACCTGGCCCGCCCCAGCCCTGTTTGCCAGGCGTGTTCGTTCGTCCGCCCCAGGTCTGCCCCGCTTCCGGCCTCCCCACCGCTGCCGGCCCCAATCTGGCCCACGCTGTTCCTTATCCCCAGCCGCGCGGCGCGCCCCAGCCCTCTCTTCCTTCCCTCTCGCCGTCCCCCTCCCCCTTCCCCTAACCGTCGTCGCTCTGCGCGCCAGTCCACTGCTGTTACCCGCCGGCACCACCCATGGGTCGGCGCGGCCCGGCGCGTGCGCCGCCCTCGCCCGCGGAGCGCCGTTTTCGGGCCACTCGGTCAGCCGGGTCCGGCCGCGCCGGCCGCAGCGGCCATCTGCCGGCCCGCTTCGCGCCGTTCTCGCCCTTACCGGCCGGTAACGGACCGGGCGGCGGCGGCGGCGGCGATGTCGTGACGGCCGGGGTTAGGCCAGCGCGTGCGCCGGCGCCGGATCAGTCGGCGAAGACAGGGCGGGCGGTCAGAGGGCAGGTCCGGCGGTCAGAGGGTACGTCGAGCACGCAGAGGACAGGTCGGGCGGTCAGAGGACAGGTCGGGCGGTCAGAGGGTAGGTCGAGCGCGCAGAGGACTGGTCGGACGGTCAGAGGACAGGTCGGGCGGTCAGAGAGTAGGTCGAGCGCGCATAGGACAGGTCGGGCGGTCAGAGGGTAGGTCGAGCGCGCAGAAGACAGGTCGGGCGGTCAGAGGGTAAGTCGAGCACGCAGAAGACAGGCCGGGCGGTCAGAGGACAGGTCGGGCGGTCCGAGCGTAAGTCGAGCGCACAGAGGATAGGCTGGTCGGTCAGAGGACAGGTCGGGCGGTCAGAGGGTAGGTCGAGCGCGCAGAGGACAGGTCGGGCGGTCAGAGGACAGGTCGGGCGGTCAGAGAGTAGGTCGAGCGCGCATAGGACAGGTCGGGCGGTCAGAGGGTAGGTCGAGCGCGCAGAGGACAGGTCGGGCGGTCAGAGGACAGATCGGGCGGTCAGAGGGTAGGTTGAGCGCACAGAGGATAGGCTGGTCGGTCAGAGGACAGGTCGGGCGGTCCGAGGGTAGGTCGAGCGCGCAGAGGATAGGCTGGTCGGTCAGAGGACAGGTCGGGCGGTCAGAGGACAGGTCGGGCGGTCAGAGGACAGGTCGGGCGGTCAGAGGACAGGTCGGGCGGTCAGAGGGTAGGTCGGGCGGTCAGAGGGTAGGTCGAGCGCGCAGAGGGCAGCCGGCCCCGCCAGCCGGCTGGCGTCGACAGCGCGCCCGCTCGGTGCGGCGGGTTGGCTCCCGTCCGGCCGCCATGCCGGGCTGTCCCCGGCCGCAGCGACAACGGGACGCGGCGGCGGCGACGGCCGGTCGGCCGCCGATGCCGGCGCTTGTCCACCGCTCTGCCAGTACACGCCCACCGACAACGGGCTGTGACAGCACCACCACCTGGCCAGTGCGACACGAGCTGGCGGGGTACTGCTGGGAAGCAGCCCTCGCAGGCCTCCAACGGCTGGGTAGCAGCCCCCTGCAGGCCTCTAACGGCTGGGAAGCCCCCCGCAGGCCTCCAACGGCTGGGAAGCCCCCCGGCAGCCCTCCAACGGCTGGGAAGCCCCCCGGCAGGTCTCCAATGGCTGGGAAGCCTCCCGGCAGGTCTCCAACGCTGCGAAGCCGCCCCCAATCCCTGATGTAGGAATTCGAGATGAAGCTTTGAGCGTGGCGACAAGGGCGGAAGTGCTGAACCTTGGTACCGGCGTGACAGCTATCTGGTACGGGAATGGCAATGTTGCGAAACCCGTCTTTTGTACTACGCCTTTTATTGCCATCGAATTAATTGCATGTTTTGCGATAGGCATGGCAATGTAAAATCAAATTTATCATCCAACACTGTATGGCTGTGGGTCACTTTTAAAATCCCAGAACCTTCACCGCTGAGGCGAATGCCTGGGCTGCGAAATGAGTGTATGTACACTGCCCTCTAGCAGCGGATTCCAGAAATAGAAGTTACCGGTCTGGCAGGAGCTTGACACCGTCAGTCGCCTTCTCGCAGGGGCGATGAGGGGAATGGTGGCGGATAACAAAGTTTGACAATTGTTCGTAGGATAAAGCTCCTGTGACTTAAGTTCGTCAGAATGAAGTACGTCGAGCATTAAGTTTTAAGTCAAAAGTTCGTATAAAATAAAGTTCGCAAGACAAAAAATTCGCCTGAACGTTGTAACCGAAATGTTTGCGCGCGCAAATGTTGGAATAGCAAAACAAACCAGGCAGATCTAGGAATATTAAAAAAGATGCACAGCCTTTATCTTCCCCCCGAGGCTCAACGTACAAACGTCTTCTTGAAACTCAAAAGCTCTTACGCTTAGGTTTTCACCAGCTCCACATGCTTTTTAACTCTGTATACCTCATTCCCTAAAAAAGTTTTTAACTTTCGTATCATTTAATATGCAAGCATTGTGATGGATATGTGTGTTACAAAGATTACAGAACACACGCGTTGGAAAAGCAAGATAAATTAAATGCATTACTTTCAAAGCGGTAAGCAGAGTCCAAATGAAACTTCTCCCACAAGAGCCATAGATATATCTAATACCACTAGATTGGAAACGGCTATACCCACGGTGTGCAGTCGACAGAGAGAGACAATGTGCATTGCATTAAACTTTACCAAAATGCATAAACGGCCGGAAATGACATGGCTTAACGATTATCTATATGACGAACACAAATGAAGCGTTGATTTCGCCTGATGAACGCGTGTGTTTCACCAAAGAGAATCGTCGGGATGGGTTGCCCGTAACTCGCCCCGTTTACCTTAGTTTGTTCAGTTTGCCCGCGAGCCTACACCACTTTACAGCTGATGCCCCTGACAGCTAATTTTTCGCCCAACTTTCTCGCGCAACCAAATTCATTTCGAGCCATTGAACGCCACAGGCTCACAAAGGCAATCCAACGGCGACCCACTGCCGCCGAAGGCGCTTGAATGTCACAACACCGTTCGATCATCGACACAGCCTTCTCCACAACGAGCCGGAGCGCGCGTAAGATTTGCGTGCCAGCCCCAGTTGCCGTCAGTCCGTACCGTCGTCCAGCTGACGAGCCTGAGCTCGCTCACATCAATGCACACAACCTGATCGATCAATGACACGGAAGATCGATGTAATGAAAACAATGACTGCATTCCGCCCGCCGCCCGCCAGGACCATTTGGCGTTGCAAACGAATGTTGCAGCCGGTGACACGGAAAAAACTCCCACAACTAGAGAGCGCGGTGTCACTCGAACGTTTCCAGTTGCCATGGCGCCACATGTCCATGCACATGTCCATCTCGAACATCCACGGGGGAAGAGCACAGCTGACGCGAAGAGCATCCACCGCAGCCTCGAGCTCACCTCTCGGCCAGCCACCGAGCCCCCGCACCCAGCCAGAGCCAGCACGCGAGCCACACACGGCTTCGGAGGCCAGCCGACCCCGACCTTTCTACACGGCGGTCCCGTGAAAACTCAGTGGACGGCAAGCCACATGCCTCAAATCGTGCTTCGCGTTTACGATTCGGTGACGCACATGGCATTGTAGCAGGGACGAACTCCACGATGGAAGTCTGGTGGCCCGGTGGTTTGTGGGCCTGTCTAGTAGTCTATGGACCTGCCTGGTGGTCTGCGGATCTTCCTGGTGGTCTGTAGACCTGCCTGGTGGTCTGTGGTCTGTGGACCTGCCTTGTGGTCCGTGGACCTGCCTGGTGGTCTGTGGTCTGTGGCCTGCCTGGTGGTCTGTGGGCCTGCCTGATGGCCTGTGAGCCTGCAGGTGGTCTGTGGCCTGCCTGGCAGACTGCGGCCGGCCGACCTTGACCTGCTAACTGACCTTCGAGGTTGTTGAGCATCATGGTGAGCAGCCGCTGGGTGCCGTTCTGCTCCTGGTACACCGTCATTATCTCCGACCCCAGCGGGTTACCCTGCCGGCGACGCGGGCGCTCTGTCACACCCCGCTGCACTGCCGGTCAAGCTCGCTGTCACCGCCATCAGCGGGCGCTCTGTCACACCCCGCTGCACCGCCGGTCAAGCCCACTGTCACCGCCACCAGCGGGCGCTCTGTCACACCCCGCTGTACCGCCGATCAAGCTCACTGTCACCGCCACCAACTTGTCAACTAAAAACAACTCGTCTATAGATAATTATACGTAGGTTCGTAGATTCAGATGACAGTTCGTGGATTCAGGTTCGTAGACAACAGATGGCGCAGGATGGAAACGTTGACGTAGGTCATATTACTCTATCCAGGCTACGATTTTCAGCTGACCGGTCCACACTACCGACACCACTCTGGCTGTGCCAGAATCTGATTTCAGACCTATCTCTCATCGACCTATCTGTAAAACGGCCCTGGGTTCTCACGTAGCCGGGTGGCTGCCTCTAAAGCGCGGACATGGACACATCTTGATTTAATATCAACAAGAAGGGCACCATTTTGTAGAAAGTTGCGTGTTTACAAGCAACAATGGACATGGACACAGAATAGGCCGATTATACAGGGGTATACACACTTTTATACCTTTTTATACACTTTTTGTTGGTACCAGAACAGGGACGATGGAAGTGCTCCCAGTTTGGGGTCCCGGGATCTATCATTGTTACCTCTTTTCAGTCAACGGATAGTTAACATTGGCCCTGTTTTGAGAAAGCCAATATAATTTTTAAAGAGTTAGGAGTCTCAGTCCCTTCTGGCTCCCCATTTGGCATGCCTCAGTCAGAGGAAATACAAGTTTTTACAACAACAAAAAACTGTTGCAACTGACAGCGCCACCAGCATTTAATGGAGATATAGTTGGATAGTTGGAATTTTAACGGTGCTTACATAACCCTCGAGTCTAGTGGGTATTGCAGGACCATAATGTGGTTGATAAGTGCACCATTCGTGACAGACGCGTGGCGTTCCACTCAGCAGTGACGAGCGCGTGGAAACACCTGCCAGGCACCCAATTGTAAATATTAGGCAACGATCTTCGGCTAACAGTACACTGGTGGTGCTGATGGTATCAGGACATGCTGTTTGGCATGTCTGTGGTGTATGACTTTTAACTCCTTAGAGCAAATATGCGGTTCATCCAGGTGAAAGTTTCAGCTGCCAAGCGCTCACTTCTGAGTCGAAGACAACGATATTCGACATGCAGTTACGCTTTTAAACTTGTACTGGTGGTATCACAGCATGCTGTATGACTTGACTGTGGTGCGTGAATTTTAATAAAAGCGAAAGGAAAATGTGTGAGTTGTCCTGGGTGACTTTTATGATTTTGTGGCTGAGAACCGTGAGTCGTGGTCTTGTACGTCTGAAAAATCGGTGACAAACAGCATCCTAGGTACAGTGTTTTCAAAAGAATAGATGAAAAAAGTAACCAGACCTCAGGCCCACGGTCTACTAAACAACCAGAGGGAGCCAGGACCCAGGGTTTTGTTCTGTCGAAAGAACCCGTGGCAACCAGAAGTCAGCGTTATCTTTTATCGAAGGAGCCGGTCGGAGCCAGGAACCAAAACTGGGGGCCACGCCCCGTCTGGCAGTGGTACACACGGCAGGCGCCCCCCCCCCCCCTCCGGGAGTGCTGAGCTGTCCGCCAGGTCATGTGAGCAGATCTACTGACCTTTCGCCGGGGTCGCACCGTGCTGGGTGAGACGCTGTCTTTATTTATTTTAACTGCGAATACGAATGCGAATACGAATACGAATACGACCCTAGCTTGACGGATGATGATGATAATGTGGGCCTTGACGGATGATGACGATGATGTGGGCCCTGACAGATGATGATGATGTGGGCCCTGACGGATGATGATAATGTGGGCCCTGACGGATGATGATGATGTGGGCCTTGACGGATGATGATGATGATGTGGGCCTTGGCCGATGATGATGATGATGTGGGCCTTGACGGATGATGACGATGATGTGGGCCTTCGAGCACGCCGATCGCCCTGGCCATATGGCGCCCATGGCTTACTCCTTATCCAACAGACCAGTGATAACAGTAGGTGGCCCTTCCATGCCTCCGATGACCACGGTTCCGGATATGGATACTCTGTTTTGGCATAGGGACGCCCCGGGTGCCGATGGTGTAGTGGTTAACACGCCTACGTTAACCACTGCGCATCTAGGAAACCAGAGGTACGGGGTTCGATTCCCTGCGGCGCCTAGTCTTCCTGCAAGGGTGGGAGGCAAGCTACGTCATATAATCTCAGCAGGTGAATGTGTCGCAAAACCCCAATGACGGCGACGATAACGAGGACTCCTGGCTACATTTGGAAGCCCTCCTCTGTGAGCTGGAAGCATTCTATTTTGGCTTAGGAAGCCACTCACGCATCAGGCTCTTTTCTGGAGCAAGAGGCCCTGCTTTAGAAAAGCAAGACCCTCTGCTGGATAATCAGACGGCCCGCATTCCGGGTATAACTAGGATACGATGCATGTAACAATTTGATTAAGAGGCACACACCCATGGTCCTCTTGAATACGATTGCCCAGGATGTGCCCCCGTGAAGAGGCCCCCTGGAAGAACGGATCGACCCACACGCCTTGGCTTACCTTTAGCCCGAGAACCTGCAGCTGAAACAGCTTGCCGAGCTCGTAAGGGAGAATCCGCAGGAGATTGTGGTTCAGGTGCAGCTCCCTGGAACGACACGGCAAAAGCATGACGATCCCGCCCCATTGTCCAGCTCCCTGAAACGGCAGGAACATGACAATCCCGACCGATTGTCCAGCTCCCTGAAACGGCAGGAACACGACAATCACGCGCCAGGGCCGTGCCTCCTCTGCCTTGCCAACTCTTGGATATTGCACTCGACTTGATGAAGCCCATCCAAAGCTTGTCCACATCCAAACGAACATTTCAATATGAGCCAATTTTAGTCCTTACCACGACAGCACAGCTGTCTAAACGTGCTCTGCAAGACCAGCGCTTTCATTGCATGGCTACGGACAGCACGTTGCTGACAAGTACCGTTTTAGATAACATTGCTTCACAAGCACTGCGTCAGCCATCATCACCAACTAAGTCTAGGCAATGGACGGGCTAAAGTTACCCTGACGTGTTGAATGCACACCTCTAAATGCTCTTATGCCACGCCGCACGACGCCCCACTCCATGCGCTTATACCGCGCGGTGTTCTTGTTTGCCGCCCTGCGGGTTTCTGACTCCTTTCAGCCCATCGGTCGAGACGTGGGTTACTTATGGATGATGCTCAAAGGGACGCGTGGATACGGCGTGTCCAAAGCGTGACCTGAGCTTCCACAACGTACCGGACGTGGCGCACAATGCGCAAGTTCTCTGGCCTAAGCTGTGCCAAACTAAGTCGGCGACAGCAGCTGACGATAACAGCCCTGGATGTAGTGGAAAATCAAGGCGGCGATTTACAGCGAAGAAACGTGAACTTTCGCGGCGACGGACGTTTTGGACGACCGCGACCAAATTGCTGTAAACTACGCCAATGTTTTGGATGGGTGTTGGTCGCCATCTGGGCTTTCCATCTAAGTCCACTTCATGGCCCCGGCTTGCTCTGTGAAGGCGTCAGCGAGTTGTGTTCAAGATATTTTTCCGAAAGCGCGACATGGGTCGCTTCCGGGTTGATTGCGGGTGCCGCGATGAGTCTTGAGGTGTTGGCCCGGCTGAATGGTTCATCGTCATGGGGCTGTACGACACACTCCGCTGCTGACGCTGTAGGGCGTCACCTGCCTCTCGCCCTGACCGTGTCCACCACCACGCTGGCGGCAGGTGATTTGTAGGCGGTGCCTGCACCTGCGCGGTGCAGTCAGTTTCACGAGTGCGAGAGCTCGTGCGCCTCAGTAGGCATTAATTCACACCTTTGCCTATACGATTGCCCGTCCTTTTCGGCGCCGTAACGTGCTGACCGCGGTTCGCTGTGGGCCCCACTGCCGAGCCACGCACCAGTATCGACACACGCTCGGCGAATTTCGTCAATTTGCGAATTTCGCGCTTCCCATGCCGGACCAGTGGGACACGTCCGCACGCGCCGACGACACACCGTCCGTCAGATCCGGCGCCGGATTTCCCATAGTGAGCTGCCCCGGCCGGCCGTGCCGCGCGCCAAACTTCACGTGGGCAGATGGCGCCAGCACCGCGCCGAGTGCAAACGAGTGCAGCGGAACGCATTTGCGCGTGAGACCGTCCGACATTCTGAAAACCATGTCATTAATAGTGTAAGGCCAGCACTGCGCATTACACAATGTGCGCGACGACACCGCTTGATTTTCGGGCCTAGGTTATTTCAGAAACACATCACTTTGCACTATGAAATTCAGCTTGATGCCGGCACTATGCAGCTTATCTGCGCTTGTTTCAGTTCAAACTAACCTAGGTATGTTTAGCTTCAAGTTTTCTTAATAGAAATTCTGGAAGTTCCCCGATGGCAAGTTTTGCAACGCCAGAGCTGGCCGCTGCCGCACCGGGATCATTTTTGGGCATGGAGGGGGGGGGGGGGGGGGGGAGTATTGAGGGTGCGTCCCCAACCATCCACTTCCGAGTCTTGCCGCAGTGTGCTCCATGCGGTCTATCGGCGTCGTAAAATATGTCGTAAAATATGTCGTATATATGTCGTAAACGTAGCTGTGTAATACCATTCACCAGGCACCTTGAGGGAGTTCATATTCACATATAAACCAAAAGGCTGCTGCTTGCACGCAAACTACATTAACATCAGTCCTAGAAACCTTTGCCGGGGGGGGGGGGGGGGGGGGAAGCGGTTGGGAACTCCTTCCACTGATCTGGATGTAAATCTGGTTTTCAGACAATTATGACACAAATATCATTGATGGTTTCTTTGTGAAGTGATCACCTATTTAGAATCCAAATGACCAACCTAAATTCAGAGGAGAGCAGAACACTGCATGTAGTCTAGAGGGGATCAACGTAACGGAGGCTGGCTGACGTTCTACAAATATTGAACTCCACTAACATAAAATAGTCACGCGGTCCTTGTGGCAACCCGAACAAAATTTTGAAAAATAATTGTCATTCTGATCGTATTGTCACACAACATGCTCATTAAATCAATCGCTGCAGGGAAAAATCCAGCTTGTTAAAAAAACGTAAACAGCACCTTAAAACAAAAGGTATCCGCTTCTACACTATCAAACTACCATCCTCTGGTTCTCCCTTCCTGCACACAGAAATGATTTGAAAAGATGAGTCTAGAAACAAATTTCGCTATCTTAGTGAAAACAACCTTTTGGCTGAGAAGCAGGATGGGTTCCGCCCAAAGCACAGCACTCAAGTACATTATACAGCTCGCATTCTTCACACACAACTGAATGCGCATCCGGACAATGACCTTGACTTAACTGTTGTTTATTTGGACATTAGGAGTGTCTTCGCATCGACCCGAACGACACATAATATATGCCGTCGACGTCATTCATGGCGTCATACCCCATACTCCGCACATTTTGGTATTCGCGGCGACCCAGACGACACAGATTATAAGTGACGTCACGTGGAATCTTTGCCGGCTGCACATAATCCTTTTCCGTTACTTTATCGCATAGGGGCAGAAACGACTCGACAGATTCAGTGAAAACCTAATTCGCCCCCCCCCCCCCCCCCCCCGATCGGGCATGGATGAGTAAAAGGTGTGCTACACAGCAAAACGTGTGCTACGCATTACAAACAACATAACGTCTAGTTTACACTGTTAGGAGCACGCGTAGCAGGCACAGACGTAAATGATAATGTTTCACGTGGGCAGTTATTGTCACGGAAGTTACGAAGACCTAACAAAACGTGTCACACTGGACACGCCCGACAAAGTATCCAGGTGACGCCACGTAGAGTACAACACCCCCGGCGCGCTCCAAAAACGCCCTGGCAATATCATTTTCTAGCTTTACTTTGGCACAATATGGCACGGAGAACTTGTGGTCACTTGTAACATTAATCATATGACATACAGGGATCGCTGTTGCAATGACTACAGTCATACATTAAGGATTGGTCACGGGTGCTTAGGATTGTTCTTTCAGAACTCATATTTCAAATTTCGACTCTAAATTTCTAAAACTTTCAATTCCCCACATCGGAATGCTCTCAGGGCTCTCGGGAACTTTTGGCAATCAATTCTTTGAACAAGCCTTGAGGTGACCTACACCAGCACAACGTATTCCGCTGATGACGCAGCGCTGCCGTGTTGTGTGGTGCGGCGTGAACACGTTGTGGACACGCCGTGGACACGGTGTCGATTAAGGGATTCCGTGTGATGTGGACAGCAAGATCCACGCTGAAAGATCGGGGTGATAACGTGCAGCTGGAAGATGGGGGGACAATCACATTCAATCCGAGTAAAGCGTCCAACAATCATTAACATCGTGAGTAGTTAGACTGACCCATCACATATTTTTTGATGGTTCGATTTTGATAGCTCGGGTTCGATCAGTAAAAAAACTGTAAACATTTAGAGCTTGACGTGTCCACGGATCTCCAGTTTAAAGAGCAGGCAAACGACATGGTTATCATGCCAAACAGAGCACTGTCTTCCCTGCACCCGGTCAGCCGGCTTCTTCTTCGGACTCGCCTGAACAACATCTATGAAACCTGCACGCTCCTAAATTCGACGGCGGCGGCACAATCTACGATAGACCGCTGTCTGCCGAAGACCCACTAAGACTGGAAAGACCTCACGGTTGGTAACTGACTGCAAACGTCGAATCCCTTCATGCGAGCTGTCGCGCGACCTGGGGTGGGACATCTCCAGCACGAGACGACTGATCCCTAAACTTGATGCGCGTCTTCAGATCACTGGACTCCAGATGTGATACTCCTGCACACGTCAAGAAGCTTTACCGGGACAAAGAGGAACCCGGACCGGGTGAGTACTGCGGAGATCGACAACCTTGACCAGACCACCTCACAGACTAACATCGCTTACGCAGTCACTCATTCCGACTGAACAGAAGACTGAAACACCATCCGAATACGGTGAGCACCCAACAATCCCTCATAACGATTAAGGACATTCACAAGAGGACGACGAGCTGACAGGAAGTACTGTCATCCTGCTGCACAGGCACACAAACAGGGAACATATGCCACGAGACATTGAGGTTTGGTGTCGCCGAGATAAACGCTTTCATCCAACCCAGTCACCTCGCGGCGCTCCCAGCTGCCCCTGCGGCTTCAGACGAGGAAACGTCCTGCATCCTACTGCGGACTGTTCCATCCACGGACAACCGCGGCGAACGGCGCATCGCGCGCTATACAACATATAGCCACCATTCACAGACGCAGAGGCCGATCATCCTGCGCGGCGGTGGGCTGAGGGCTGGGACTATGCAGGCTACGGCTGTCTTGCTTCAAACCTCTGTCAGACACTTCGGAAGAATACGTGAGAACTGAACCGCTTGTCCGCCACCACTGCCGCCAATGAACGGGTACCCTGTGCGAACAGCTGGGGGAGCTGGTGTGGACACGCATGTGTTTTCAGATAGATCCTGCTTTAGCCAGCAATCTGCTACTCACACGAAACAGCGGAGAGACGCCGCGCTTTTGCACCAACGCCGACGAATTGCCAGCACACGGCACGTGTTCAGGTTTTGTTAAATGCCCGACACGACAAGACACAACCAAGGGTGGCATGCTGGTGACGCCGCACCGCCGAAAGGGCGCCGCGCCCACTCACCGCATGTTGACCAGATCGCCCAGCTCGGCCGGCACCCGCCGCAGCTTGTTGTTGGAGATGTCCAGGTAGGAGAGCTGAGTCAGGTGGCAGATCTCGGACGGCAGGCACACCAGCGAGTTCTCGCTCATGTACAGCGCCGTCAGGTGCTTCAGACGCCACACCGTCGGGCTGATGTTACGCACCATGCCTGCAATCACCGCCATGGCGCACGGCGATCAGCGTCATCGCCACAACGATTGCGCACGTTACAACGCATGTAATGCCATCGGGCCGCCTTCGAGACAGACAGACATGCCTACAAAGCGTAGGATGATGCCATTTGTTGGCGGCGTGGATCCGAGAAGGTGGTGCACGGGACAGTCCTGGCGAGGAGGCGGTGCACGGCACAGTCCTGGGGAGGAGGCGGTGCACAGCACAGTCTTGGGGAGGAGGCGGTGCACCGCACAGCCCTGGCGAGGAGGCGGTGCACGGCACAGTCCTGGGGAGGAGGCGGTGCATACCAGTCCTGGCGAGGAGGCGGTGCACGGCACAGTCCTGGGGAGGAGGCGGTGCACCGCACAGTCTTGGGGAGGAGGCGGTGCATACCAGTCCTGGGGAGGAGGCGGTGCACCGCACAGTCCTGGGGAGGAGGCGGTGCATACCAGTCCTGGGGAGGAGGCGGTGCACCGCACAGCCCTGGGGAGGAGGCGGTGCATACCAGTCCTGGGGAGGAGGCGGTGCACGGCACAGTCCTGGGGAGGAGGCGGTGCACAGCACAGTCTTGGGGAGGAGGCGGTGCACCGCACAGCCCTGGCGAGGAGGCGGTGCACGGCACAGTCCTGGGGAGGAGGCGGTGCATACCAGTCCTGGCGAGGAGGCGGTGCACGACACAGTCCTGGGGAGGAGGCGGTGCACCGCACAGTCTTGGGGAGGAGGCGGTGCATACCAGTCCTGGGGAGGAGGCGGTGCACCGCACAGTCCTGGGGAGGAGGCGGTGCATACCAGTCCTGGGGAGGAGGCGGTGCACCGCACAGCCCTGGGGAGGAGGCGGTGCATACCAGTCCTGGGGAGGAGGCGGTGCACCGCACAGTCCTGGGGAGGAGGCGGTGCACAGCACAGTCTTGGGGAGGAGGCGGTGCACGGCACAGTCCTGGGGAGGAGGCGGTGCACCGCACAGTCTTGGGGAGGAGGCGGTGCATACCAGTCCTGGGGAGGAGGCGGTGCACCGCACAGCCCTGGGGAGGAGGCGGTGCACCGCACAGCCCTGGGGAGGAGGTGGTGCATGGCACAGTCCTGGGGAGGAGTAGTGACACTGACGACACCACACATTGATCGCCACGTCGAGCTGCGATGTTTGCTTTTCCGACGGACGCACTTGTGACGCTCCACCCTGAAAGCCAGCCTTCGACGATCATACGGACCGCGGTCGGTGTGACGTGTCGCATGATCACCCGGCCCGCAGTCAGTGTGACGTGTCGCATGATCACTCGGCCCGCAGTCAGTGTGACGTGTCGCATGATCACCCTGCCCGCAGTCAGTGTGACGTGTCGCATGATCACCCGGCCTGCAGTCGGTGAGACGTGTCGCATGATCACCCGACCCGCAGTCGGTGTGACGTGTCGCATGCTTCTAACATGGCCGAGCCACTCTCAGCGCCGGACACAGGCCAGTGCACCAAAGGCCAAGGCGACACACTCGAACCATGGACATGCCAAAAGTGCCGCCGGAAAGCGACAGGGGAGACATTTTAAGATCCGCCGCTTCTCTGATCAGTCTGTCTCAACACGAAACAAGCTTCTGCATGCTAGTGCGGGATGCTGTGCAGCGCATCAGTTCGGCAAGGGATCCATGCTGAGAAGGCTGTCGTGAAAACGACGAAGGCCACTTCTCCACGAGATGTCGCATCCATAGAGCTCCGCCGATCGCTGGTCCGAGCTTTCTCCAAAACCAGCGAAGAAAAAAGCTAGGAATTAGTTCTTCACGTCCTGCATTTTAATGGTTGTTTTTCTGTCCTTTGAAGGGACTGAGTGCTTATCGCCACTGGCCGTATGTGGGCAGATACTTTTTCTGAAGCGTACTCCTAAAAATGCTGCGCTGCGAAACCGACTGAGTCTAAGCAAGCTAGTGAGAAACCAGTAGAAAGCTAGTGAGAAAAGACTGACTGTACACTGCAGTCTACAGCAAGCTAGTCAGAAATTTCTGAGTGTCCGAAAACTTGTCAAAACGTGCTACAACGGGTGGGGTGAAAGATCGAAGTACCGCTCCATTTATCATAATAAACATGGTCCGAAAGCTGGTTGATTCCCTGTTCCACAAGTCCATTTGAATACCTCGAGTGTCGCTGTCTACCAAGCAACAACTCTGAACTTTAAGACATGAGAAATTATAATGTGCTTCCCTTTATCATACACGCCATCTTTCTTTTAACAGAGTACCCACTGACATTGCAAAAATTCTGCAAATTCCTGTCCGTACTCCACGGACGGTGGAAGGCTGGTACCAACAGGAATTGCCTCCACTAAAACCACTCTATAGTCCTTAGTGTTATGGCTTCAGACAAAGCTTGGTAGTATCAATATTTTCCTTCCTTGAGATTTGATGGGATTAAAAAAGCTTTTTGGAATAACTTTTGACCTAGACCTGGAGGGACTCATATTAACACTCTCAAAAGACCAAGCCAAAATATATTTATGCCAGACTGACTTGTTGAAGACTTTTGCAGTGAATGGTGCAACACATTCTCCTTGTTTGGCACATTTCTTCCACTGTTAATTTTATCTTTAAACACAATACTGTCGAACTCTCGCATGGGTGCTATGAGGGGTGTATGGTAGTAGTTTTGTTCTACATGTGGGAGCATTTTAAGCTACCGTGACAGCTAAAGAAGAGGAAATATTCAAACGTGATGCATTATATCACTGTTTACACCCATCAACGAGACTAATTTCACTGCTAAGTTTCTCTCGTCAGCCAGGCTCTTCCAAGCTCCTACTCGCCCTGCACCCCGCACACAGGGCACACGCCATTCTCGCATGATAGGTGCCTCACAACCGGCACTCACCCGTGATCTCGAGCTCCTGCCAGTGGCTCTTCCGACCCGAAGCCAGGTCCTCCGCTGACATGAAGGTGGGAGTGCGCCGCCCGCATCCCGGCTTCTCCTGCTTGTCTTTGCCGTTGTTGCCTCTTATCATCGCACCCTGCCAGCGGCCCAGGAGACAAGCTGGTCAACAAAAGGGGTCCCACCGCAGCCAAGAACTTCACAGACTCGACAAGTAGGGAGACAGACTCGTCAATGGAAGAGGTCCCACCGCGGCCTGCGGCTTCACAGACCAGACAAGCTGGGAGACAGACTGGCCAGCAGAAAAGGTCCCACCAAAGCCTTGGGTTGCACATGTTATGGTCAGATTCGCGCCGCGCATATTCGTTAAAGAGGTCAACTCCATGCTTTTCCCAGATCACCAATTGGGTGAACACCATGCAGAGAATCTGCCATAAAATGAACTGTCCACATGGTGTCCTGTTTGACAGATTACATCATTGTCTGCAAAGGGAACATACCATCAAACAACAATCTAGGCTGCTATCCTGTTGTACCTCTGACCTAAGGTCACCAACATATCACAAGCAAGGCTCATCTCATGGACCAATATTCTTTCCCGCTGCTGTGCCCCAAACACCATTCATACCAATGAGTAAACATTGTTATTCATTATCAAAAACAAGCTCAAAGTCTTCACAGCTTCACAGTGCTGTGACATAATTGTAGCAAACGCTAAATGGTTGTTGCAAAACATGTGCAATGACTGGTCACTTGACATACCTAATTTTATTTTTCATTAATTTAATTTATCAAATTAATTATTTCATTTCATCATCTCCTGCCGCCTCAGAAACATCATGGGGAGAGACATCTTCCATCACCCCTGAATTCTTCATTCAACTGAGTGCCACGCTGCAAGGTGCCTTGACTGTATGAAATTGGAGTTGGCATGTGCAGTGCGTGTGGGTCAGAGTCCCAAGTAAAGGGCTTAGATGGCTTATCAGAAAGCCTTCTAGCTATAGGTCAAAATGATAAGGATGACAACATGCAATCATGTCATAGTATTGCATTGTACACTAAAATATATTGCACTTTGACAAAATGATTCAGACAAAGTACTAGCATGACAGATGAAGCAATTGTTCACACTTTTGTCATCATGTGGTGTGTATGTACATATAATATGTGTTAGTTTGTGCACAGTGTGCATACTAACACACCAGATGAGGGCAATAGTCCAAATCATTGCTCCATCTATGGTACTACAAAAGATGAAATTGGAAGGTGAAAAAGTTGTGCATAACTGTTAGTAATATACTGGACTGGAGGTTGATGGGTCTTCATGCACTAAGGTCAACAGGTGCTAAGGTTAGCAGGTTAGGCACTCTGGTGCCAAAGCCTTGTCTTATTCTCAGACAACAAGCTGGCCTTGGTGGTGGTCCACCACTTAGTGACACTCCAGTTAATGACATTTGACTGGTTAAACAGTATTTTTTAGGTCTATATGTGGCACATTACACATGTTCTCATCACTAATATGGTACTGCCATTTTTGCCAACAACCCCCTTCTACTCACAGTCATTTGTGCTTAAGTTTAACCTTTTACACTCTGGCTTCAACATGGAAGTTCTGGGAGCCCAGCATACCACAGTCATTTGAATTATGTCAGTACCCTGGGATATGCCTTCAATTCAAGAAAGCCTACTGGTTATGCTACTGTACATATGACAGGCCTTTCAGGAGTTGCTGGTCAGAGGCAATTGACAGCTGGTGCCAGTCAAAACATGTAGTATGGATATGATTTTACATATGTATGTCTATTGGGATGTTAACCAATCTGCCACACTACAGTCAAATGCTCAGTGCTCTACTGACCACCAGACAGGAATCCATATGATTTTTAACATTAGGATGGTATGAGAAATGACCTGCTTAATACAAAAACAAACTGCAGGCATATAAAGAGGAAGTATATTCAACCCATATCATTGATCAAATTAGGTTCACAGAAGATAACACAGTGGTAATAGCCCTATTCCTTGGAGAAAACCAAGGAGAACATGGATATAGATGGGTGACCCATCTATATCACCATTCTCCTACGTTTTGTGTGGAATAAGGCTGTAACTACTGTGCTTTCTATGTGAATAATGTTCCTCACAAATGCACTGAACAGTGCAGATTAGCAGGGCATAATAATTTAACAAATAAAACAGCCAATACAGTTTTGACAAAACAGCCCAGCCAAAGGCCATCAGAAAAGACAGATTCAACAATTGTGTGGTCATGAAAACTGGATTTGACAAACAAGTGATTTTGAAGCTCCTGGAACTGGTGAGTGACAGCAAGAATATGCTGTCCGATCTCTGACAAGGCTGTACTGCTTTATCTCACAACATATTTCCTCCCTCATTGGTTTGTTTTACATCATCATTCTGGCATGTGAGAGCAATACCTTCCATCCCTTACACTGAGAATGTGTTTCCGAACAATCCTGGGAAGTGATGAGCATTGAATGCAATAAAAATAGTTTGGCACTCTTTGTGCGAAATCATTTCTAACATTAGAACTAACAATAGTGACTCAGTTGAATCAGAAAGACATTTCTTGTAAGATCTGAATTACTGAATTCTAATCATCCACTACTATAATCTATTGTTGCCAAATATTTCATGGTGGGTACAGATGACGGTGACATAAAGGATGACTGCAAACAAGCAAAGATAAATATCATTGATGTGAACAAAAACCAATGCACAAAGCCCAAGACAAAATCATGCCTAGGAAATCTTTACAAAAAAATAACAAATTTAGACTTCCATGATCATATTTTTGATACTGACCTTGATTATGAGCATGGAATCATCCAACATGACTTTCTCATCAAAAAGACGGAGGCACATACAGGCAAACACCTGTTTGCTGGAGCTTTAGTCTAATTGGAACTGACCTGACATGGTTTAGCCTTAGAATTGATAGCTTTAATTCTTACCAAATTAATTCAGAATTGAATTAAGCCAATTAAAAATGTTTTGCCAGCAGCTTCATATGCAAAATCTTCACAAACTGTTCATCATGATGCCAAGGAGCAGGATGATACTTTGTACAGCTCAAAAGTGTTAAGGACAGTAGCAGATCAGGAATGGCATGCCACAAACATTCATTTAGTTAGTTAAATATCAGAAATATGAATTGACAAGGACAGACATGCAAAACTTTCCATATCTGCCATTTGAAGCCCACAAGTCTTAGCTGTCATGCTGCAACTTCTTCAGGATAAGAATTCTCAAGTTTTGATAAATGAAATAGATGAACATACATCACAAAAAATGCAAGACATATTTTAGATGCACATTCACATATTCTCAATTCTTACATATCAAGAGATGCTGTTCTCAAAGATGCATCAGAGGATATAATCACCATCACTCCTGAAACAATTGTGCTTTAAGGGTTCCATGACTTGAAAATATTTAAAAAAGAGCAAATATAAAGAAATGAACTCACTTATAACTATTTGTATATTTCTAACTGGAAAAGACTTCCAATCATAACACAATTTCTCTTTTTACTCATACTCTGCTGAAACGCTAAGTGTTTGACCATCACCATCCAATGCATGCAAAAACTAGGTAAGGGAGCAAATGCTCCAAGTTCCCATTTCCCCTTGAATTTTCCACAAAAGCAAGACACCTCCAAAGAAATTCAGCACTCCGCCACCCCATACAAGATGCAGCCTTCAAGACATCCATCCACTGCACAGGATACCTACGTGAAATCAGCGCACTAAGCCTTGCAATTATGTGTGCCAAACTGCACTCAGTCTTCAAAAGTATTTATATGACACAAATTTTCCTCAACAAATAGCTCTCTATGCTCTTGCATTGACATTAATTATGTGCCTAGCTCTGAGCACAAAGATTTCTCACTTACGTTTCTGAAATGTGTGACGTCGCACCTATACCAGGCATGCTCGACATAATATACAATTTTTGCTGTCTGGCCCAGGGCTTATCTATTTATGCCTCTCAGACATGATGTGTGGCAAACATTGGGAAGTCTCAATGGCAGTGAAACCTTTGAGCCCATGGCAGGGGCAAACATGACAAATGCCATTTGTTTCCATGGAGTCATATGGGCCATGTTAGATGTTTCCCAGATTGAGATAGCTACCACCTCCCTAATTCTGCTATCAATGGTACATCTTAAGTAGGTGCTACAGTACAAGTCACAGTACGAGATGCCACCAATTTCATTTAAGAGCTACCACTTCATCCTCTTTAAATGATAATAATTTCAGGTGCAACACTTCCACACATACATTCAATAAGAAATGACATAAGTGCAATACAATCAAGTAATTTAAAAAAATTCCCACAGGAAAACAAATACTGGAGCCAAATTAATAGCGCAGTCCAAGATGCATTCGACACTCGTAGCGCAAATCAAGCAAATCAAATGTCCAACGACATCGACCTCAACAACAAGTTCTTACCAACGTCATAAATGTAGCCCTATCCCAAGGTGAAAATAAACAGCTTCAGGGATGTTAAAAAGGCTGGAATCCGAAATGTGAGCTGACACGAACGCACGCATTACCCAGACCCGGCTGCCCCCAACAGCAAGTGATAACCGTGCTAACAAAAGCCCGATGCCAGTTTAGTATACGCCTGGGCATGCATTTAGGTTAAGGATGTTTTTCAGGTAAACACAGTTCAGAATAGGCTGTTTTTGGACATTTCGGTTCGTGAGAGTGGTCTTAATTGTAAGGAAAAGGTTTAAAAATGTGCCGTTTTGTTTAAAAGATCGAGAGTTTAAATACCCATTTATTATAGTCTATAGGTTCATGACGTCAAAGCAGCGACTGAATCCAATTCAAGTAAGGGACTATGCACCTTAGGGCTTACCAAGGCCAGACCCTGCTATTTTCAAGGCGCCACGCATCACGTACACCAACTGGCGGAGTAATGGGGTGGGGGTGTCCGTGCCCTGGCCTTTTCAGTGATAAACCCATCCACCGCGTGCATGCTTACGTGATTGGGTGCGTTGAAACTGGTGCATGCTTGTGCCTAACGGATTTCAGGCTGGGTTATGCTGAAATATTGAATGCAATCTTTTAATCGTGTTGCGTGTATTTTTACTCCAATTTCCTTAGCATCACCATAATTCCTTTAGACTTTGGCTCTCTCTGCCCTGGGTATGGGGTTGCTGTGCATTAAACTTGGGGCTCTCCTATCTAGTGTGTGTGAACCAAGTTGCTGGCAGGATGTTGCAGGTGTCGCCACAACATTTCAAAATACATCCAGTAGAGTATCCGGAATGTAAATATGACATCATGTATCTCAAACCTTGCCTTTCTAGCATCCTCTGGATGCAGTTTTGTGGCTAATCTGTTGCACTTTGACTGTGAACCCCTACATTTTGACCTGTCCAGCCCCTTGCCATCCCTGGCCAACCAAGCCCCATATGTAATAACATGTGAGAATTTTAACATTTCTGTTACCTAAATGGCCAAATGCTTAACACTGCTAAGTGGGCAGACACCCATAACCAAACATATTTATATGGTTGAGCCCTGGTCACAGTTTGTCAAATGTGTTTTAAGCATCAAAATGGCTATATTATGAGGGATGACTTGTTGAAATATTCCAGATAAATAAGAGTAAAAGAACAATATAAGTGGTACAAAAGGTAATATTATGGTTGTTCAATACAAGATACCGAGGCAACATATGTTGTGTTACTTCCTTCTGTAACTGGCATGCATTTTGTTCAGCTCAGTTCAGTTAGTGCAGCTCAGTTCAAAGTTTTGGTGGTTGGTTGGTACCAACCACCAAACCTAAAACCAGTTCCATGTTTTTTCTTGCTCTGGGAATGGGAAGAAGGAACAGGTTCCAGGGAATAAATATCAGCAGCCAGGCACACTTTCCTCACCCAATGCACCTGTAACCCATGCTTGATGTAATTGTCACTACCCTGCTGGTTGAGGATGTGCTCGTTGATTAAGTATTCACTGGGTGTTTATTGGTGGCAGTGGCAGGCACCATGTCGCTTGGGCCAAGAAAAGGCACAAGGAATTCTGCAAAGATCACATAAAATTCAGTGATCTGTTAATGTTGAATAAAGCTATTACTACCTGTTCCTTAAATATCATTGATTTTTTCTTCTGCTTTCTTTTCATTTTATGGCTGCACATGCAGCAATAAAATGCTGCATATGCATTAGTTGTTGATCTGTCATTCAGGTAAAACTCACATATGTCAGCACATACTGTAGGGTCAGTTCATGGTGTCTTCTTGAGTGAAGATGCATGAGTTTTGTGCACCAGCACTGTGCAAACTGCATACCTGAACTGTAGGTCTTGTCTCAACTGTTAACAGTTTTCATACCGGAAAACAGTATTGTTTTGCCTTTTCATTGAAAAATATTACCCACCACATTTTTTGAAACGCCACCAATTTGTAAGACACAGGCTGGTTGTAGGCAGGCATTCACTGATATCCACTAGATGAATCCATCATATGAAGATTTCCAGGTAATACAGAAATGCCCCATGGTCACCATTCCTATGGATTATCAGGGTATATCTTATTTGTATTCCAAAGTTGTCATGAGTTGCTCAGATTATGTGAAAGGAAGATATACTGCTGTTATATCTTTAGGTTCCATATATTGGTCAGTGCTCTGCAAAAAAGGGGGGGGGGGGTTTATGTCTGCTAGTGTTACAATGTTTGATTTAACCAGTTAGTCAAGCAGCATTTTTGGAGACTTTGTATTTTCAAGATACCCAATGAGAAAAGTGTTCTAGAACATGCACTGGAAAGCAACTCCTGGTGCTATTTGAGCTCTACATTGCATATTTTTTAATGTCTTGTGCCAATGCTTTGTGACATTTTACAGTTTTTACATGGTTTTATGACTCCAAAAGATATGCTTAGATTAGTCAATATGAAAAATTAAGATGTTTGTGAGTCATGGCTACCATTTATATTTCAACCATTGAAGGCAGCATTAACTGGTTTGTCAAGTAGCTTGACAATTGTTATATCACATTGTGTTATTTCAGGACCATATTGCGCTTGGTGCTGGGTGCTCTTAGTTTAGTGCACGCACATGCACACACACACACCTCCCTTCATCAGCGCCACCTGTACGGGCCAAGCTTAGTCTGACCGTGTTCGCCATCTCCTTTCATCAGTGCCACCTGTGTGGACCAAGCCTTGGCCTGTCGTGGTCACCTCCTCCCTTCATCAGCGCCACCTGTGCGGGCCAAGAGTTGGCCTGGCCGTGGTTGTCTCTGCCCTGCTGCGGCGCCTTGCCTACCTGCAGGGCCGGCGCCTGGCGGTGGAGCTCGCCGCTCCACGGTGGCGCCCTCTATATGCGGAGAATAGGGGCCTAGTGATGGTCACATTCAGTCTACTACAATTCATGGTGTCCTCCCCTACAGTGGCGACCTCTGCGCCCGCAGAGCGTGCGCGTCCTGGTGATCATCGCCGCTGGGTAGTGCCGGCCCTTTATACCCACAGGACCTGGGTCAAAAATGGATGACATGGCATGGGTGACATGGTACGCGTGACATAGCACGGGTGACGTCACTCCCTCTTGTGTGACATCACGTAACGGCCACATGTTGATCACGGATATTGGTTGTGTTGCTGGCTCATTTCGATGCCTGCTATCACTCGCGGCTTCTTTTCCGCATTCACCCGAAATGGGATCGTCCAATGTACCGTAAACTGTATTCCGTGCAGCAAAGACCAATGCTGGCCGAAATAGGCTTTGAAGGTGACTGTAAGAAGGCGTTTGAGGACCGTAAAGATTGTAACACATGTCTGTTGTCTGGGACTCACTGTGGTACCAGGGGACGCCTAGGAAATGCGTCGCTACATCGGGTAGTGTGGAGCCCAGGTTTACAGTTTTCAGCATGGCGTCATAGCTGAGTGTGTACTTGTCTCGCCATGCGCGGCTTGTAACCAGCGCTCCCGAAATCCTCAGAGGAATGGCACATGTGCGACATTTAAGCTGACGAACGGCAGCCGGGGTGAAATGGGAATCAGTTAAGGGAGGGAGCACCCAGGAAGTCGGCGACTGCCAAACGTGAAAATAGGAAGAACGAAACTTCAGACGAAATGACCGCTCTGGAGCCCAGAAGCTTCATCGCCGAGAAGTGGCTAGTGTTGGGTGTATTTCACGCATGTTATACTCACATAAAGTGTGAAGTGTTGCAGGAGTCTCATGGACATGACCGACCCAGGTTTTGTTTCTCACTTTATGTAACGGAACGACAAAAACAAAGCGGTCTCGTTACCAATTGCCTTTTTATGACCTTTTGCATCACTACCAGAAGCGCTTGGGTGCATTTTGGTCTTCATACGTGTGACATTTCAGCACCAGGAGCAATTCATGATACCGCGTGTGACGTGCAATGACAAAATTGCTGCCGTGTCCCATAGAAGATTATGATCCCGAGTTGTCTGCGACGATATGATGTCGTGTTCCTGGTGTAAACGGACTGTGATGACGTCATCCAGTGACTGTTGAGCTGCCAACGTGACGCTAAGCATGTCTTGTCAGCAGTAGCGCAAAAAACGCGGCCTCACATAGACGGCAAAATTTGCCGTTGTTCAGCCACCACTGCGTCGCCGTCCTTCGCAAACAGCACGGTGCAGATGAATGCGACTGCTTTTGTCGTTACCAATGCTGTAGCCCTTTTCTTTCATCGCAAGGTGCAGCATTTTCTGCAACGGAACATCACGAATTGTGTGATGCGTCTCACGTCTTCGGAGCCGCAATGACAATTTGACATGAATCATGTGTTTTGGCAAGGGCCGTTTCGGGGACAGTATTAGAGCAATATATAACGATGTGAGTTGGTCGTGCCTTCGGAAAATGGGCAGCATGTTACCTGCCTACCCCTTTGTGATTTGGGATGTATATTCGCCAAGGGCTTTGACAATCGCAGGCTGTTTGTAGGCTCGAGTTCTGTTCATGTCTGAGATGGGGATAGCCTTGTATTTCGCCTTTTCTATATGTCTATCATTGCACCCGATCTGAGTCTCCCAGCAGCCTGGAAAGATGCTGAAGTGAGCCAAAGCCATTACCACTCTCTAAAACTGTGGATCGATATCAGGCTCGCTGCCGGATGCAGCAGTTTCTGTCACATCGGTGTGAGACATCTTATGTTTTGTTGATTCCGAGCAAACGCCAGGCTGGCCGTTGTAGTCCTCAGTCTGTAGCCTCAGGCTCAGGCGTTCTGCTGGGGACCACTGCAGGTGACCGCCGCCACCTCTCCTCGGCTGCAGTTATCCACGGTGTTGTGAGGACAATTCTTCAGGTGGCTCTCGGAGCCACGGCACTTGACGTCATCCATGTAGAAGTTCTCAGGTCCTCCGGCACCGTACGCGGAGCAGCAGTGTGCTCTTGCACCGCTGAAAATAAACATTAGTGGTCTTTTAGTCCAGCAGTTTTCGCGATTACGAAATGCATTACCTAAGTTGCGTATCTCACAGTTGTAGTGTATGGAACGTCTGAATACATGACCAGTTAATGTATTGTTTCTGGCACTGGTCAGCTCATAAATGTGGGTAGTTTACTACTCATTCAGCATGATGTTGAACATGACATGAAATCCACGCTAAGCATCTTGCAGTTAATTGAAATTACATGGGAGCAAGTATTTACCGCCGTATCAATGCCTCACAAAATTTGGTAACAGTTGCACGCATGAAAGTAACCCCACCGGCATCGCTGTTTGCCAGGGCGATCCAAGTGAGGGTGTTGTGGCGATGGACATTAAATGCATCGTATGATGTTGCGAAAAGGAAAAAAGGTTCATAATGTGCCGGGAGTTAAAAAAATACAGCGACCTAAAACACGTACCTAAATCCTAATGTTCGGCAGACAACTGACGCGTCCACATCCTCCCACGAGTCGTCACAGACATAGCCCCAAGTGCCGCTGAGGGGTCTGAGTTCGACTCGGCCTTGCGCACAGGAATAACCTCCAGCCAGCCGGTACTCATCTGAAACGTCAACAGTGCTCACATGGCATAGTTTTCCAAGTTTGGATGGACGCAACCACAGCGCCATTCAATGGCCTCTTCCTTATATTTACTAACGATAACCCTCATTGCTCATGAATTTTCCGGCTCCTATCATATACGTCACGCGTAACTAACCGCTCTGTATTTATAAGGAAAGGGACGTATTCAGGGAAAATAAACCTGCGCATAGCGTACCGATCATTGGCGTCAGTGCGCGAAAAGCTGTCATGAGCGAGCGGAGGCTTGTGAGCGATTCACAATGTGTCGCTGGAAAAGGGCCCCACTCGCAAACTGCACTGTACAAAATGCTCTGACGCAAAGCTGGCAGCGAGCGTGCCGGAAGCCCAACACACCACGGTCCAAGCGCTTTCACAAGACGACGGAACCACGGAATCCGTTGTGAACGTGTTGACGCTTAGTAGCAGTAGTCAGTCATCGAGTGCAGCACAGCAACGTGTAATCAGTGTGAAGACCATTGAAAACCTGGATTAATTCTTCCGCGTGATCCTTTTCTTCAGATCATCTGTTCTAGTAGTGAAATATGTGGCTACAAAGAAAGCCAAGTGCTGTGTGAGCGTCAATATTTTTTTCTAGCAGTGGGAGGTCGCTCATTGGCTGTTGGGTCCAAACGGCGACGTCATGTTCGCTTGGGGGGGGGGGAGGGGCATTTAATGCGCGCGCGCATACACGCATGCACACTCACGGACCCCCGGGGAAGCGGCACAAAGGAAGTCTTTTTTGCAGGTAGAAAGTCTCGCTGGAGCCCACAGGCGCACATAAACAGCGCGCCGTACATGTTCACTCCGTCATCCGCTGCCCTTGTCACTAAATAACTGCTGTTGAACGCGGTGTGCTACAGCCTATTGCAGTCAATGTGAGGTTTCCTGACGACCAGATTGTCGAGTTGTAATTAATAGTGTAATTGTGAAAAACTGCACGTGAGGCCGGCGAGGGACACAAAGGTCATGGATTTCTCAAAATGTTCCATCGATGTATCAGTGATGAAATACTTCGGATTGGCGCGCGCCCAAGACTCATCATGAACTATTTGCATTTGATAGAACTGCGCATTAATCCACATCGAACGGACTATGTTCTTGTACGAGCGAGGGCAAGTTGCAGAATTCACGTCAGATGGCGACACAAACTGGCGAAAAGTTCGGGCATCTTCGGCATACAAAAGGCAGCCGTACTGAGTGACGCACAGTAGAACGCTTGTGAACATCGAGAACAGGAGTGCAGCCGAAAGGGATCCTTCTGGAGCACCAGACATTGGTTTCCACTTGGAAGTGTTCCCGAATAAGTTTTGGGATTGTAATAATAAGCTGAAAAGTTTTCCGGAATAATGAATATAATCTGGCTGAAATAAGCTACTACCAGGGGCGCAGCCAAGCGAGATCGTTTCAAACGTGTATGCATGTTTGTGTAGTTTTGGTGTTTGTGTATGAGGAAAAGAGTATTAACTCGCATACACAGCCATCATATGACCACAGAGCGCATGACCTTGGGTCAGGTCATGACTTACTTCCATGGGTGTCTTCCGCAAAACACATGGTGATCTCGAAATATGCAGTTCTCTAAAGCAATTTGGGGCACAGAATTCGAAGGGTATGCTGAAAACCTGCTTTCATGTCAATGTGATGCAAAATGAGGTCACAATGGGTCACGCGAAAGCATGCCAGGCCATGTGATGTCACCCAAAGTCAATGATTTATTTTGCCAGTAGCGTAGAGGTTAGATGAACGAGTGTGACGCGTGTAACCACCTCTATGTCATGTTTCTGAAGCTGGTGGTGCACAATTTCATGCATAAATGTCCATTGTCAAACGTCGAATGGGCTATGTATACCGCGTACCACAGCTACGCGATGCTGAGCGCCTGCAGATATACGGTACGCAGTTAATTACCACAGAAAAGCATCGCACCATTCACGTACCCGGTTAGCAATTTAATTTTCCAGTTCGATAGTTCAGAAATTTGACCTAATTTGACCTCCAACTGACCTCTATATTTCTGCCTAAAATGGTAGTTTTGTGTCTGGCGTACCTTTGCCCCCAGCTGCACCTAATAGAAATAATTTGGTCAGAAGCACATTGTGATAGAAAACAAAAAGCATCGTTCGTGTGGGCTACTGATAGTCCAACATTGAACCTGACCTGGCCTGACCCTCATGGGAAAACACAACGGCCGAGCTCCCTCACATCGTTCAGATCCTTACCTCAAGAGCGCAGACATTTGCTCTTCCGTTACAAATGTAACGCCTACTATTGGACACATGCATCATGGCGCGACACTGCGTACATATTTTTCCACTTACAGCTTCCATGCACGACACCCGGACAGACGCGTTCCGAGCACTCGCCCGAGTTGCACGTGAAGTTGGAACGGTGCGTGGAGCAGTCCTGATCGAAGGTGCATGCCTGGCCTGCGCTTACACCTGTAATGATATATGGGTCAGCGCGGCGTCTCTCAGTACCGTGATTTAACGATGACATCTCGCGTATACGCCACGGATAGGTAAGACTGGGCTTTGCACGTCAAGTCCGAGGTGCCAAATTTTGTTTCGCGCCGTTTTGCGCCGTATGTGCCATATCAGTCAGCACCTGAAATTATTTGTTTGCTTCGTGCACTGGAAATAGCCGAGGACTTTGATTCTGGTGCAGATATTTCTATGGTCTCTGGAGACAAGGACTGGAATTAATTTCACAGATTTTGTGCAAACTCCGCCTTGGACACTGATGATGCAGGTAGTGTAACCACATCTCAAAGGCTTGTGGCAATGTGGAGTAAGGATTTGCACACATATTTCAGTGAAGTGAGTTAAATGCTGCTCACTGTTGCACTTTCCATGGTGCGAGCAGTGCTTGCGCTTCCAGAATGATCCGACCAGCTATCCTTTGGTCCCTACCTTTACGAGATCATTGATGCTGTTCTTAAATAAGTTGTCTTGAGGTCGGAGCCGTGCGAGACACCCAGCACTCTTGACACGCCACACGGTGGTGGATGTGGCGCGGGTTGTCGTGGGGCTCTGACTCGTTCCACAGTGGTGGATGTGGCGCGGGTTGTCGTGGGGCTCTGACACATCCCACAGTGGTGGATGTGGCGCGGGTTGTCGTCGGGCTGTAAAACGCCCCGCAGTGGTGGATGTGGCGCGGGTTGTCGTCGGGCTATGACACGCCCCACAGTGGTGGATGTGACGCGGGTTGTCGTCGGGCTATGACACGTCCCACAGTGGTGGATGTGACGCGGGTTGTCGTCGGGCTCTCACCTGGCCGGCATTCGTTGTTAGCTCGGTTCCAGTATCCTGTCGCACAGGCGCAGATACCGTCCGTGCACACCGAATGTGCTGTCATAGCCTGCAACGATTAGCCAACGCACTCAGCGGCGGCATGAGAGGGTGACGCTGTTATACACGGTCGCACTTCTAGCGAACTGGCAGGACGTGTCAGATACTGGGCTTGACATGCAGACGCTGGGGAGGCCGACGGAGTCGCTTGCGTCATCTCAGCTCCACGCGCTCCATTTGTCATCACCATTAGGTCGCATACAAAATCACTTGTGAGATAGACATGTCCATACAGATAGGAATGTAGCCAACAAATCAGCAGATACATAATTAAATAATTTACCAACAGACGGACAAAACATTCCGGACATGATCTAGGCTCTTCGAACGTCTGGTGGTACAGAAGCTCGGTATGATAATATGCTATTGTCGGCGGTGCCAACAAGTAGGAAGTAAAATTTTTGCTACATGGCGGATATTTGAGCGTTTCACTTTTCACTATTTACATTATGGTTTGGTGTTTCCATTGTTGACGGTTTTGAATGGCCTTATCATTATTTGGAAAATTGTTTAAATTTGTTTCCACCGATTATGCTTTAGCATTTACCAATATTATTCGCGGTACCGTGTGCTATCAACTGTAATGTGTACGTTTTCAAGGCCCGCATTTACCATGTGCCACGGCTCTCCATTGCACATCTTCACAGCTAAAAAGTCTGCAACGGAAAGGCTGTTTTGGGAGTTCTGTCAACCTTCAAAGGAAACACATGCTGGAAACACTTAGCGCATTTGAAATACCCAACCAGCAGAGAAGTGCGAAATGCAGACGCATCCTATGTTTAGAGCATCGCCCGCTGCACCAGTGGTGACAACGTGGCAACGCATGGCGTGTCTGAACAGGTCAATTTTGGGAACGATTTCAACCACTACGGATGTTGCCTACTGCAGACTGTAACAAAAACCGTCAGCTTACAGATTGCTAGTTCAGATCGTTTATTTAGATGCCAAATGTCCCCTATCCTAACGACTGTATAACACTTACACTGCATCACAGGCGTAGGCACGTTTCAAAAAGTGTGGGGGGGGGGG